TCAGTATTTTCAGTTCACATATTCAAGGGTAATAAATAGAGGAAATGTCTTTTTTTTTAGGGACTAAATATTCTTCAACATACATACATCACATCATCACAATTATTATTATTATTATTATTATTATTACTATTATTATCATAACTAAACCATAACATATGAATCATCTTTATATCTTAATTTGATTATTGTTTATGTCATTGAATAACAATAATTCATTTATGTAAAATTATATGATTGATATTAGAAAGAAAAATATGTAAGAAAAATGGCTTTTAGTGGATATTATAATCTATCAATGTTAAATTTAATACTTACTAGTATTTTTTATTTATTGATACCTTGTCGAGAATGTTATTCATTTGTTCAAACAAAGACAACTCCATCACCATTAATTATAGATAGAACAATTATTAATACTACTAATATGCCTGATGAACAACGTCTTTTTTATACACTTTTGACTGGTTATGAAAAAGCTGTAAGACCAATTAGAAAAGCATCAGAAGCTGTAGTTGTTAAACTTGGTATAACATTAACACAAATTATGGATATTGTAAGTTATTCATTAAAAAAATATAATATCAATCATTTATTATTTTATATATTTAGGATGAACGTAATCAAATAATGACAACTAATATCTGGCTTGATCAGGTAACGTTTGTTTTAAATATTAATATTATGTTGTTTTCTAATACAAATAAAATAGTGAACAATTTCTTATCAGAGAAGTCTTTCAACTAATAACTCGCTTATCAATTGAGACTAGCGATTATGAAACCAAGTCTTTTTGTCCTTGGTCATAGGCTCGGTAAATCTATTGTAGTGTTGAACCCAGTCTAGAGAATTTATTCGTGTCACATCTAGTACTTTTTTGGGTCATCTATTTTCAATTATGTTCGGACTAATATGATTTATAAGATAATTTACTTAAAACCATCGAATATATTATTATAAACTTGAGTTCCGGTCCCAGCAAATTTTTTAATGATGGCCTAGACCTCATACATCTTCTGTTATCACAACATTCACTTGAAAAATATCATAAGAGCGCAGTATCTCCGCAGCAATAGGCAAAGAGCACAAACTCTTTTCAGGCAACTCATTTGGCTCTACATAATGCATCGTCTCGCCTTAAAAATGATTTATCAATTGGAGGTATTCGCTTGCGAGATATAAGGATATCACATTCACTGTATATCGGTGAATATATCATAATGAATAGAAATATTTTATCGATAAATTAATATGAATTCTTCGGAATATATGATTCCAATCTATGTAATCTGCTTTTTTTTAATGAATTGTGAATTCTTTTAAATATAGTAGAATTTATATTTGAAGGTCAGATGTAATTATTGTAACCAAATATTGTGAGAATTTACCTAAGATAAAAACTACATAGATGCACTAGAAATTATCTGACAACTAAATTAAGTTTTCTAAAATCAACAAAGTAAAACGAATCAAAAAGAAAACAAGTCTTTCATGATAAGAAAATAAGAAAGAACTATTCTGATTGATTTATAAACATGATCAAATTTCGGTTCATTATTTGATCATCAAAATAAAGAAATATGAAGGAATAATTCTTTCGTGATAAGAAAATAAGAAAGAATTATTCTGATTGATTTATCAACATGATCAAAGTTCAGTTCATTATTTAATCATCAAAATAAAGAAATATGCAAAAAATAAAAACAAAATATACATGATGAATTTTTCAATAATAATCTTGAGAATATTTTTATAAAAAGGAATGGAATGATGAATTTTTGAAATGGAATCCCGAAGATTTTGGCGGTTTGAAAAAAATACGTATACCATGTCGACATATTTGGTTACCTGATATTGTTTTATATAATTCTGCTGATGATTATACACAAGGATATATGCAAGCATTAGCAATGGTTGATTTTAATGGGACTGTCTTTTGGCCACCTATTGTTAAATTTCGATCAACTTGTAAAATTGATATAACTTGGTAAATCAAGAATTTTTATTCAAAAATAATAGAATTATCGATTTTTGTTTTTTCTTTTGTTGTCAAACAAAGGTTTCCTTTCGATGATCAATTATGTTTTTTAAAATTTGGTTCATGGACATATGATTCGACTCAGATACTCTTAATCAATCGTTCAGAAGCTATTGATACTGCAAATTATGTAGATAATGGTAAATCATATTTTTTTTTCATAATTTTTTTTAAAATTCTATATAACAATTAAAGGTGAATGGAAATTATTATCATCATGGACAATTCTATCAAGATTAACGTATCCATGTTGTGATGAATCGTTTTATGATTTAAAATTTTATTTTCATATAAGACGTCGAACATTATATTATATATATAATGTAATGATACCTTGTATAATGCTTTCAATATTAACATGTTTAACATTTTATTTACCAGTAGAATCAGGTGAAAAAGTTTCATTAGGTTTAACAGTTCTTCTTGCTTTTTCCGTATTTATGTTATTAATTGCTGAATCAATGCCAGCAACAAGTGAATTTATTCCATTAATTGGTAAATTACTTTTACATAAAATTAAAACAAAAAAAAAAAAAAATAATGTTTATCAAATAAATTTTGTTTGTTTGTTTTTTTTTTCTTTCAAAGGTATCTATTTTACATTAGTTATGAGTTTCACAGGCTTATCAGTTCTATTAGCTGTTGTTTTACTTAATATTCATTTATATGGTTCAGCTTTAAAACCAATTTCACCTCGAGTACGTCGTATATTATTTCATCATCTAGCACCATGGTTATATGTTAATTTACATCGTGGAAAAAAATTAAATAATCAAAAACAACCACAATATTCAACACTTCTAACACCACGTCGTTCAACAACAATTTATAATGTTATTTTTTTAAATGAACATGATCTTTTATTAAATGGTCAACAACAATCATCACCATCATCATCATCATCATATATATTTCGATCAACAACAATAAATGAAAATAATTTAAATACAGATTCATCATCAATACCAAATATTCAAACAATACCACAATCATTAAATGAATGTAAACGTCTTCTTACTGAACTTAATCATCTTATTTTATATCCAACTGAAACAAATGAAGAAGATTGTATTATACGTGATTGGCAAAATGCCGCATTAGTTATTGATCGTTGTCTTTTTTTACTATATATTTTATTAACATTTGTATTAACTGTAGGAACATTAATTTTAGCACCTCTACTTAAAAATGTTCCAAAACAACCGAATTATCATCAATTGAATATTACAAGTCCTGCTTAAATATAGTGTTATTTTTTCTCACAATGGAATTTTATCAAAATGTATTTTTATGCAGAAAGAGAAAAAACTGAGTAGCTCGAATATGTGATGTGTCTGTCTTCTATTGGGCGAAAGTGTATGACATTTTAAATAAAGACTTCTTATATGAAATTTGTCTGCTTAATAAAAATTTGAGAATGATGTTCTATGAAAATGACAATGTACAATAGATTATCTTTTGGTTGGTATATTGTAGATTTTGAAAGCATAAAAAAAGTATTATGAATAAATTTTATATTGAAATTAAACAGAATCATCGGATTATGATGATTTTTTGACTTGATATCTATGATAAATCTATCAAATTCGTATCTGTTTTTAACTTTATTGAAACATTTGAAATAAAATTTTATCTTTGAATCTAACTGATAAAATTCTGAATATTTAACGATAAAAAAAAACACATTAAACTAAGCATTTCTCTGTACTGTAATCTTTCATTCAATACAAAATTTATTTTTATACAGTATTTCAAATGACAACCTTTATTCAATCTCCTAAGATCGAAAAGAATGACATTAGTTGTTCACACTTGCCTCCATTTCATTGGTGATAACATACGAGACTTCCACCATTGTAGAACAATAGGTGGTCTCCACAGTAAAGAACTAAGTATAAACAGACACTCGACCAACGAAAAATAATACATTTTTAATTTCTTTGAACAATTATATTTTTCTGTCAATATCATAGAAATATGACAAAACTTATCAAATATTACTCTTTCAAACCAAACAAGATAACAATATGACTTTTTCACTAATGTTTAGCTTATGAAATATTCTATGCACCTTATAAGTATCCATTCTTTGTCCTTCACAATTATTTTACCAGTGGTCACGCTAATGACCAATGGAGAGTAAATGATTATAAATATAAATTTTATATTTTGAAAAGAAAACTTCATTAAATAAAGTTTCATAACAATTTTTCACTGATAAAGTAAATAAATCTATACCAATTAAGGATTACGTTATTATAACATAGAATAAATAATTCTATACTATCTTCTTTTCATTTACAAAGATCTAAAACATTTTTTTTATTTTATAATTTCTGCTCTACAATAAGTTTGGTCTATTGAGATAATTACTCATTACAATCAAACTTATCTTTATCAAGTTTTTTTCGTCATAAAATGCATTGTCATGATTTTAAAAAAAGAAATTTTGTTGTGCAATGCCAAACAATTTAAAACTATCATTTTGTTATCAGTTGAAAAAAAATCGCATCATCATTAATGACTTGAAATAATGATAACAGGTCATACATTTAACTCACCTATATATTTACTGAATGTCTACAAAAAAAAATGTCACAACAAAGGTAGGTCCATACAATGTGCTATTAAAAAAAGGGCAAGCTATGCAGCACTTCTTATCTATTTAAAATAATGTTGGCTTGTTAGTATTCTGTTCACATCGTTTTCGTAGTTTCATGAAGACTGTAGTTATCAATAATTAAGAAAATATTTCAGAAATTTCAAATATATAATTGAAATGATAAATAGACATTCCTCACGTATGATCAATATGAAAAAAGATGTAGATATTCATACGAATATGAATATGTAGAAAGCAGGACAAAGATATGTAAGATAAGATTGTGTTTCTTGTACTTTATTCTCGAATCTGATAAAAATCAAATTGAAATATTTCTTTTGTTTTGTTTTTTTTTTTTAGATGAAAATTTCCATTGTATTTTTCTTGCTTACTATATGTTCATTATTCCATGAGGGAATAAATCTCTCAGATGGAAAATTTTCGAATACATGTGATAAAATAGTACTTGAACAATATAATGTGAATCCTACAACTTGTTCATCTAATTTTATTATTAAATCTTCACAATCTACTTATACAATTGATGAACCTATTCATGGTGAGTTCATACCTAGATAATGAATTTTAACACATATTTTTCTTTTTACATATAGTCACAATTCAGAGTACTCTACCAGATAAAAAATTCGTTGGTATTTATTTATTCGCTCAAGATACAAAAAATATTAATGTTGGAAGTTGGAAAATAACGGATTTATTAATTGAAAGTGTTTCATGTGGTGGTTTGATGCATAGTTCAAAAATAGAAAAAACTAGTATTGAAACAGTTTGGTATCCTTCATCAAATGTTGTTGGTGATGTTATGATCAAGTATAAAAATCTTTTATTAAACGAATTGAATATCTATATCTATTTTTATTTAGAGCAATAATTATTGAGAATGACAATACAATTTATATTGATTGTTATAATATCATTTTAACTCCACAGGTAAATATTTACTGCGTAAATAGAAAAATACAATTTAAAATCTTTTTTTATTTTTGAAGAAGTTATTCTAATAGATGTTTGCTCTTTAAAATTATTCAACCTTTTATACGTTAGATATTACTATCAAAAAATTTATGAACTCTTATAGTAGTCGCAAAAAATCCTGCTAATAAGTAAAGAATATCTGAAGTTTATTCCTATAGTTTGATAGTATGACCATAAGTAGAGCATCTTGAATTCTAATCACAAGGACTTGATCGGCCTTCATACGAAGGAGATAGAAGATTAACATAGATTTTTTCTTCAGATGAGAATATCTCAATATAAAAAACAAATCTCATGACATTAGATCTCTCATTCGACAGTTCAGTGCTGCTTCTATCACCAATCAGAATGTTATGTCTAATGGTTTTAGTTTGCCTGATTTATGAAGTAATCTTTGGATGATCTCCATATGAGAGTTGATGATTTTAGGATCGCAGCCATCGATGGTAAAGAGGGTTGTGCAGAGATTGTCATAGACAATGGAGGCTTTTTTTTCGCCTAAAGATTACAGCGGATTGAAGTATCCTATTTATAACACAATATAGACATACGAATCTTTATTTGTTTATAAGGAAATGGAGGTTAATGCATTTAAATAGTGAAAAACCAAAAAAGTGTCAATAAAGCCTTTTCTGAGCCTTAGGGAAAAAAACAGTCTTTCTTTGTAAACTCTTTGTATGAAGATCTATAGAACGCGGATTGCTGCTTTCGATCAGAGTTTATCAAGTTCTATTTATAGTTCAAATCTTAGACAAAGGGATTGAAATTTATATACTTTTTACCTGGTAGTAGAACTCCTTGTGACTACTGTAAGTGGTTTGTCTTGTTTCATCGACACTTTTTATTCAATTGTATTTTATGAAAAAACAAATAATTGGAACATTTTATTAGAGAAAGTTATTGCAACGATAGAAATGAGAACATAATTCAACAGCACATAAGATAATAGTAGCAAAATACTATTGTAATATTTTACTTATCTTATTAAAATATTTATCTAATGACAAGCAACCTTGTTCATATCTGTTGCTAAGTTGTTTCATCGTAGTCATGTTGCACGCATAATTTTTCTTTAATTCATCAATTACTCATATAACTTTGAACCGGAAGTGGCAATATTTGCATTAAGCCAGTGGCGTCAGCGCTCCAATTCGAGTGTTTATGGGAATAGAGAAGCTTAATGTTTACTCCTATACTCCATAATCAAAATTGCTTTTCTTTCCTTTCTACTGATAGTAACGTTCGTTTTAAAAATATCGGATAATGTCATTGCTGTTTAGTTTATTTCTTTCTCCTCAAGGCAAGATTTCTCTTCAGTTAAATTTTAAAATTATTCATCGTTGAGTATTGAATGTCTCTATTTCAAAGCTCAAGTAAAAACAAAGAAAACAATTTTATTTAAATCTATATTCCAGTTCGTTTGTGTTTAAATTGACATAAATAAAAAAAAAGGTCATTATTAATTTCTATAGATAATCAATTATTCATCATTCACTGATGAAACAAGTCTTGAACCAAATACTACAACGACTACTTCTACTACTACACAAAACACTACTACAACAACTACATTAACAACTACTTCAGCTTCTGGTAATACAACGCAGACACCTTCACCTGCTGCTAGTGTTTCTATCAATGTCACATGGACATTTAATAATGAAATCAATGTTACAAATGTTGTCATGAGTGTTTACAATTTAAAATCATCACAATGGGCTGCTATAGGTCTTGGAGTAAAAGAAGCTATGGTAAATATGAAAGAATAATTTATTTGAAGATTTTTGTAATTTACTTGCTATTAGAACGTAATCATTAATTATCAACTTTTTTTCTTAAATATTGGTTTTTAATGATTATAGTTAATTTGTAGGAAATAATATTTTAAATACATATATATATCAAAGAAATTTTCTTTCGTAGGGTGAAGCTCATGTATTTATGTGTAAACAACTTGCTAATAATACAATTGTTATAAATCGATATATAAATCCAAATAAGCATGAACATCCTGAACATGCTGGTTCAGAACAAGGTGGTATATTGACACCTGTTCAACAACAATTTAGGGATGGTGTTGTGATTTGTCAATTCACTTTGTCGAATTTTAATATTGAAACATTTCAACAACTGAAAACTATTAGTCCACTTTCTCAAACGGCGAGCTATCATCCATTGTTTGCTGTGGGATTACTGAATAGTACTAGTAAGTTATCTTTTCAAAAAAATTTCAAATACTAAATCTAAGTATCTCGATAATAGAAGTTTAAGATCAATTAGGACATAACAAAAGTAATAACAGTAGCACTGTAACATCTTGTAGAAAGTTCGAGGAAATTTTCGATCTATATATATATATAATGTAAGTTCAAACAATGCTCTTTTAATATTACACTGTTCTTTAGTTAGTATGATAATATTAGAATTTCGATCAAAACTGTTCACCTTTGATTTACTTGTCAACTCTAATATATTATATCATAGTTGACATGAGAATTCAGTTGAGTTTGGAATGCGCGAATTGGTTTAAAAAACTTTTATAATATAATAAAAAAATTATAATATTTTCTCTGAATTTTTTGCTTTTACTGTGTTATCTACAAAATTTATCTTTCAGTTTCATTAGTACTTACAAACATTCATTATGTTCTAATATCATAATTACAAGATACACATATGGTGTAATGCATTCGTGTTTTTAAAAATCGTCACACATCAACCTCAATCTTCATCAATCATTCAATGTTCCTTTGTCTCATAAATAAAAACAAAAAAAAAAAATTTTGTCAAAATATATATTCTATTGAACAAAATAAGTCAAGTCAATTTATTATATATAAAGAAAATTGCTTCTAGTCTTCTATAAGGTTTTTGTAGTGTTACTACAACTATTTTTCGTATGTCTTTAGTAAATTATTAGTGTTTTTTTTTTAAATTAGAACTCTTTTTTATGATTGTTCTATATATATTTTAGATGATCCACAAAAACATTTTGATGATTCACATACAGCTCTATCTGAATTTGTTCAATTAAATCAAAATAAAACTATTCTTTATAAGATAAACAGTACTGATGATGGAGGTTCACTTACATTTGTACGAGTTCATGGAGTTATTATGGTTTTTACATGGATATTAATTATTTCAACAGGTGTACTTATTTCACGTTATTTTAAAAATTCTTGGGCAACGAATTTCATTTGTGGTAAAGCCGCATGGTTTGCTGCTCATCGATTTCTTATGAGTATGGGTGCAATCCTTACAGTACTTGGATTTTTATTCATTTTGGTCTTTAATCAAGGTTCATGGGTAGAAAAAGGTCCAACACGAGCCTTTGCACATTCTATAACAGGTGTAATTGCAATAAGTTTTGCTTTCTTTCAACCTTTTATTGCATTATTTCGTTGTGAACCTGATAGTCGATTTCGATTTATATTTAATTATATTCATGCATTTGTTGGTTTTTCAGCATTTATTCTTTCAATTGCAGCACTTTTTCTAGCTACTTATTTTAGAATATTGAAAGATACAAAAGCTCGACTTTTTATGATACTATGGATAGGTTGGATTGGATTAATATTTATTGCTTTTGAAATTATTCAATCTTATTTTCGAAAGAAATCAAATGAATCAGGTTATTCAAATATAAATGTATCGAATACAACAATTGGCGAAATTGTAGAAAGTCCAAAATCTTCAACAACAAATTTAACTCATTTTGTTCAGCAACAAGAAAATACATTAGAAAGAAAATTAAAACATGTTCTTCTTGCTATACATGTACTTATTGCTGTTATAATTGCAATTATGATGACTATATTTATTTTTTCAACATGATAAATTTTTATTGTATGTTGTTTGTATAAGTAATCATTGAAATCTATTGAAAATTTTTTCTTTTATTCTAGTTTATTCTTAATATAATAAAAATAACAAAACGAATGAATTAATAAAGTTTTACAACCGGATTTACAATAGGGAATGGTTCTTTTTTTTTATTGATTAGACACGCATTTTCTTAGCCGTAGTTTTATCGCTTTTAATAACTCTTGACATCATACTAGCATTACTAATATTATCATTATGCCAAGTTTTTACTTTTAATAATTGTGTATCGGTATTTTGTAATACATTATTTTGTAATGTTAATTGTTCTTCATTATCTATGGGTTTAATATTTATTAATAATAATTTATCTCGTTCATATTCTAATCCTTTTAAAATTATATAAGTATGTTGTAAAAGTATTTCATTATTAACTTCAAATGTTTCAATATCAGATTCAATTATATTACCAGTCCATAAATCAGTTCGTTCAAGATAAATTTGTATGGGTACATCAAGACTAACATTAACATTTGATAAAACACGTACCATTAAACGTTTAAGTATACCAATCCATGAATCTATACTTTTAAGTGAATATGCAATAGTTTCTTTTTTAAATGTCATATCACTAAATTTTCTAATTAAAACTTGTCGTTGTTCAATTGGAAATGATTCTTCAGTTAAATTTTGTTTTATATAATGACGTAAAACTTTATCAAATGCAATTTCTTCTATTAATTCATATAGATCAATTATATATTTAAGATTAATTGTTGAAAATGGTGGACGTTGAAGAACATTATCATTAAGACAAACACTTGAACGTATATAATTTTCAACAAATGATTGAATTGTTAATGAATTATTTGTTGTTTCATCATCATCAATATTGCGTAGATATGTAAATACATAATCAAGTGAACCAAGATAATGAAGAATATCATCATTTTGCATACTATTTATTAAATTTTTTAATTTCATTTTTTCATTTTGTATTAATGATTCTTGTTTAATACGTGTTCGAACATCATTTATTAATGATGTATTTTCACTATAAAGTTCAAATTGATAATTAAGAAAATGTAATTTTTCTGTATCTATTAATGGTAAACAACTAATCATATTTCTTAAAGTTATTTCAATTTCTTCATAATCATAAATAATATCTCGACTTTTACCATATTGATAATTAATAGTAAAACCATCAGTTATTAATTTCGTACTAATAATATTTGCATCAAGATGAAGTATATGTTCTGGTCGAATTGATTGTATTGGTATTGCATTTTGATGATAACGATTATTATCAGCATCATTAACTATTTTATTATGAAAAAAATGAACTATTTCATTTTGTAATTGACCTATTGTTCGTAAACATGCAGCTAATAAAATACTACTTTCATCTTTAGTTGTATTTAATAAAACCATAGCAATTTTTGTATGTATTGCAAAATCTTCTTGTTTTAATGTTAATTCAAATTTAGTTGGTTGACAACCATATTGTAATTCATTTAAATTAAGTTTATACCAAGCTTGAATAAAATCATTATAAAGTTGAGATATTGTTTCACAATCTGAACCATGTGTTAAATAATATGATATTGTTGTTTCTGAAGCATCATTACGTTTAATACGATGATTAAATTTTTCAATAAGATAATTTGTAAATATAACAATTGGATAAAGATATTGAATATTAGCATAATCAGAAAGACGTTTCATTAAAAATGTTGTTATTGGATAAAGTTTATCTCCATATGGAATTGTTTGAAGTCTAATACGAAATTCATCAATTGGATTTGATGTATAAATATTTGTAATATTAAAAAAATTTAATAATGGATATTTATTTTCATCTTGAGATATTTCATCAATAAAATCATCAAATGTTGCTTCTTGATTTTGTTGTCGAATATATTCATTATAGGCTATTTTATATTGATTAATTTCATTTGAAATAGATTCAATATGATTAAATAAAAGTTTTTCTTCAAGAAGTTTTTCAATTTGTATAACTTTTTCATTTGTATTCATAAAACCTTTTAAAATAAAATCTTTATTTAACATATGATTAATTATTTTATATAACCATATATAACATTGTTCATTATCATTTAATTGTTGACGAAGTAATTGATAATCTTTTTCAAAATGTTCTTTAAAATGTAAAGAATTTTTTATATTAAGATCTGTTAATAGAGATAATTCATTAAGAAATAATAATGTTACATGTGTTATCATATGTATAAAACGATATGAAATTGATCGATTTAAATGATCAGATTTTTCATATTGATTACTTTGTATAGCTCGTGTTTGATTATGATAACCATATCTTGGTTCTTTATTATATTGTTCAATATAATTATTAATAAATTGAAAACCTTCATCAATAGTCATACGAATTTGTGGTGGTTCACGTTCAATAAGAATACCATATTGTGCTGCACCAATATCTCTATTACATAATGGACATTTACTACGATCAACAGGTACACCACAATTAAAAAAATAAAACATATAATAACAATCTTTTGAACATTGAAAAACAAATTTTCCTGGTTCATGTATTTGACCTCGATCTAAACGTTCTTTAACAGTTGTACGTACATCAATCATTTGTGTTATAATTGGATTACTTGATATAAGACCAGGTAAACAAATTGATGATTGTAAATATGTTGTATAATTTTGTGGCATTTTAAGATTTTCATCAAATAGAAGACTACTTAAATAAGATGTTTGTCGTAAAGTTTTTAATGATAATAATAATGCAATAATATTTAATGCAATTAAACGTTGATGAAATTGATCAATTGTCATTTTAGAATTTAAATAAAAATAATTTGAATTATTATTAAAATTTGTACATAAGAAAATAAGTAATTTATAACCAAGAAGATCAAAACAATCAATTATTTCTCTACTAAGATCTTTTTCAATTAATTGTTGATAATAATTATTTAATGATATATCATCATTAATATAAAAACGTGCATAATAATGAATAAACCAAATAATAAAACAATAAAATGTTTCTTGTTTTATTTGACATTGTTTAACTAATTGTCGTATATCATTTATTTTAACATTATTTGTTAGAATACGATCAACTCGAATAAATTCATCATAACATTCAAATAAAGGTGTTGGTAAAATAAGACTACGTCGAATTTCTTTGGTTTTTTGACTAGTAGTTAAAGCAATCATTGGTCGAATCCATGTAACATTTCGATTAATAATAATATCACGTAAATCATTAAGTGTAATATTTGACATTTGACATAATTGTTTAATAATAAATAATTTAATTGTTGAACAAAATAGAAAATCATCACGTGTAAGTAATTTATCAATATCTTCTAATATTGCATGATGACTATCATTAATAAAAACAAATGCATAAAGTTGTGCATAATGTTTTAACCAAGATATTAAACTAATTAATGTTAAACCATAATGTTTTTGTGTATTTTGTATTATTCGTATATTTTCTTCAAATTGATTAAAATGTTCTTGAAGAATATTTTCTATGGTTTCTTTATTATTTACACTTAATATAAGATGCATATGAATACGAGTAACCATAATATGTTCAATTTTTCGTGATGTATCATTTAATTGTTGTAAATGTTCATCAAATTGTTGATATTTATTAATTAATTTGCGTAAATCTTCATCAAATTTTTCAAAATCTTCAATTGATGGTAATTGTCCATTAAAATCTTTAATCATTGGTAATAATTGAAGTTTTCGATCAATATATGTAAAAATTTTTGCTGAATATTGCCAAAGATTATTATTAGATTTACTCATTAATGTAATTATATCTAAATATTCATCAGTATGATCAACAAGCCAATTTTTTAAAAATTCACTTTCAAGTTTAAGTAATGTTCGTTGAACAACTATTTCATTTATATTTGGTTCATTTGTACTAATAATTCTTTGTAAAAGAGAAATAAATTTATGTATATCATCACATGTTCTAAATGTTGCATCAAAACTACCATAACGACATGCTTGTTTAAAAACATCTAATGCTTTATTAGTTGATATTAAAGTTGTTATACAACGGATAAGACTAATAAATGAACGTAATTTTTCAAGATTATTTACAGAATAATGTGTTAAACCAAGTATACCTTGAGCAACAAGACTATATGTTGTTGTTAATTGTTCAATATTATCAATACGATCAATAATAGATGGAGAAACAAGAAGTTCAATTAGATTCATTAAACTAATTTCAATAAATGGATCACCTTCACATTGAAATATATGTTCATTAGATATTTCTGATTTTGGTGGAATTAAACAAAAATGTTCATCTGTTAAAATAAGTTTATAAAATAAACTTTCATTTTTAATTATTTTCATATCACTTTCATCTAAAATAATTAATTGTTGATTAAATATTTCATTAATAAAATCATTTTCATCAATTAATTTTATACTAATTTCAAATAATCTTAAAATTTCAAATAATTCATTATAATCAATAAGTAAATGTCTTAATCGATCATTAATAGATCTTGTTTGATTTGTCATAAGTAAACGTTTAATAAATAATGAAGATAATTGATAAATTTTTGCTTCATCTTGTGCAAGTAATAATTGATCATTATAATAATATCGAAATAAATCATTATCATTAAAAATAATATCAATATTTGAATCATATATACTTTTTGTACGTAATTGTTTAATAGCAAGATTCATTAAATCTTCTTCATTAATATTATCATTACGACGTTGTATAATTATTTGACGTATTAAACGAATAATTTCATATTCTTTTATAGCACATGGTAAATGTAAATTAAATATTAATGGCATTTCAATAACATCAACATTCATTATTGTTAAATCAATATTTTTAATTGTTGATATTAAACAATCAAACCAAATTTTATTTAATAAATGATTATTTTTATTTTTACTCATAAATAAAAATGAATCAATAAATGAATATTTTTCAAAATGATAAAATAATAATAAAAGAT